TAATAATAATAATAATAATAATTTAAAATGTTAAATAATTTAATAATAATTTAAAATAAAGCAAAAACAAATTAAATAATATCAATTATAATACAATTATATATATATAAAAAATCATAAGTTTAATTTAAAATGAATACAATTAAATGTAGAATGTCCTCTATCATTTTAAGGCCTGAATCACTCACTCTTTGAACTGAACCCAATATCACTGTTGAAATTGTATTAATAACCTCTCTTAAATTAAAACAACAGCATCTTTGAAATACTGATAACAGCTAAAAACTCATCCCTCAGTTTGTAAGAAGACAAAAAACATGTTTACAGGTGATCTCTAGCTGGGCCACTGCAACAGTATAAACATTAAAATTCACATTATTTTAAACATACAGTACAACAACAGGATTTACACAACATGTGTTCTGTTCACTTGAGGCTAATGTAACAAATTACATCATTAGTTCTTTATAAACTGAGGGATGAGTCAGAATGATTGTTTTGAACTCAGCACTTGTGTTTTTTCATAATCTCTGAGGTCAGACTCACCTGCAGCCGCCCCATGCTTGTCGTCAGACAGGTGCTTAACCCCACGCAGGTCATGATCGAAACCTGATTGGTTAGGATATAGTCACATGACCGGGTCACTCACCCCAGGCTACAGAGGGAGTGCTGAACAAACTCACCCGCCCACAAAGCAAAGGAAAGACTCACGCGGCTCGCCCGAGTGCTGGATGTTAGTGGGGTTCAAGTGCACCGATGGACCCAGCAAAGCACAGAGACTTATGGGAAACACTGACGTCACAACAGCTTGTCCTCAGTTTGAGAGAGAAAACAATGACCACGATCTTCTTGCTGCCATGCTCAACTCAAAAAGTCTACTTTCTACTTGGAAAAGCCAACAGAGTGAAGCTGGACTTAAAATTGGGAAATATCTGATTTCACTGAGATGCAGTGTTATTATTATACACTATTATTTATATGCTTTTTTATTTATATTTTGTATAGTTTCAGTGTTCATTTTAATTTTTAGTAATATTCATATATTACTTTATATATTTTCATATTTATATTTTTGTTTTCATTTCAGTTTAATTTAGTTGTTTCTCATTTTTATTCGTTTTTTTCATTTAGATTTATTTCAGTTTTAGTCATTTTAGCACTTCAAACTTATTTTATTTCAGTTAGTTGCCAAAGCAACATTTCTAATCTGCGTTTTTTATTTTTAAGTTTACATTTTTCAGTAATATTTATTAGTGCTGTCAAACGATTAATCGCGATTAATCGCATCCAAAATAAAAGTATTTGTTTACATAATATATGTGTGTGTACTGTGTATATTTATTATGTATATATACAGTAAATACACACACATGCATGCATATATTTCAGAAACATATGCTATGTTTATGTATTAAAAATATTTATATATAATATAAATTATATGAATATAAATATATACACATGTAGAAACATGTAAATATTTTCGAAATATATACTGTGTGTATTTATATATATACATGTACACAGTACACAGTACACATACATACAGTATATTATGTAAACAAAAACTTTTATTTTGGATGCAATTATTAATCATTTCAAAAACTTTTATTTTGGATGCAATTAATCACGATTAATCGTTTGAAAGCACTAATGTTTACATTTTATTTCGCATTATGACATTTAAAAAAAAATTGTTTTAGTTAACAATAGCTATACTGATAGTATGATGTCACGTGAACCATAGCAAACTCAGCTTTTGCAAAACATTTTACATGTTCTGCAAAATATTTTGGCAACGTATGTGGCAAAATATTTAGTTAAATGCTGCTGTTCATTGCCATAGTTTCAACTCACTTAAACTGTAAATTAAAGTGTTTTTAAGTTTCACAATGTCACAATTCAAATCCTCATTGTTTTTTATTATTAAATAAAAAACAATTATTAATACTATTAATTACACAGTTATTATTTATTATTTAATTGAGCACAAAAAATATTTTGAGTTATTAATGTATAACTTAAAAATATTTTAAATTGAAAAAAATAAACATATATTGCACAGATGAGACAAACAGTGGCTCTCTCAGGACGGTTGGTCTCTCTCCATTGTGAGGATGCTTTCACCTCACTGAGGACGAAACTGCTGTGGCCCATAGGTTTCTGTGTTATCCAACTGTTGTTTTCAGAAACGCAGGAACAACAGTTCAAAAACAGCAAAAGTGAGAAGAAAAAAAACCAGAGACAGAGCTTGAGAAGAGGAAGGAAACCAGAAAGACAGCGTGCTTTACCTTCCAGAGGAGTGAGGTTAGAACCCTTTTTCCCATCCAGGCCATGCTGAGAGTACTGTTTGAGCAGATTCTGAGCCTTACGGATCGTGCCTGCGCCCATCAACACCCAAACACAGAAACAGAGAGGAAGAGAGAGAGAGAGAGAGAGAGAGAGAAGGGGAGAGACGCAGGGATTGCAGGAGGAAAACAGAGGAAGACACCGTGAGGAAGAAGAAGAGGAAGGGCTTCTCAAACCCTGTTCACCGACACCAGAGCAACAACTGAGAGAAATCCAGATCCCTCCGAGACTATAGCCGACACCACAGCTATCACACACACACACACACACACACACACACACACACACACGGTCCAACATGAACCTCCCATCGCTGTTACACTGATAAAAGTCAATAAACTGGATTAGGATATTAGGAACCGCAACATTACCAACATTATATGGTCAAACTGAAAGAACTGATTTTAGTGACAAGTTTTCAAGTACACTGTAAAAAATGATTGTGATACAGTAAAAGACTGTATAAATGCTACAGTAAAAACCTGTTAATTGGTTAACAGTAAGTTTACAAACATAAACACCCAAAAAGACTTTTTGTGACTTGCGTGCCAATTTTTAACATTTTACATTTTTAAAAATTCACCATCAGACATTTATCTTGGAAGCCTAAAATCTTTAAACTAAAAATTAATTTAAAAACTAAAAATTAAATGAGATATAAACAAAGATTTGAATTTACTTACATTCAAAGCATATCTGAAACATTATTATTTGTTTTAAATAAACGAAAGAAATTAGTGAGCTTTTTTGATTAATGAAATGTTGCTTAAGGTTTTCTTTCTACTGTAAAATAAATAAATTATTTGTTATTTATAGTATTTTTATTTAGGAATCTAAATGCATAATGTGCCTTTACTCTGAAATTAATAGTGGATATGATTTACTTTCAATTTAGTTAGTATTTGTTTATTTTGGAAGAAAAAATATAGTATGGCAAATACTGGCAAATAATGTATATTTATGAATATATATATGATTGATTGATTGCCAGTACACTTTCTCAGTTGACTAGTCATTAGCAGCAGTGGCAGAAAGTTCATTTTGGACCTTGCATACACACTCAGACACACACACACACACACACACACATGCGGTGCACAAACATCACATCACATCACAATGTCTACAGCTAAACAGACTGAAAAACACGTCACACACACACTGAGGAGAAAATACAACCGGTTAATCCATCACAGCTATTAAACCACAGCATTGTGTCACATACAGTGATGTTAATACACTCATTAAGAGTAGTGCTGCTCCAATGCATCAGCCACACAATCTAAAACCTGTTTAACATCACAAACTCAAACACATCAGACAGTCACTGTGCCGCTAAAACTAAAGGCACATGTCTTAAAGGGGTCATATCGTCATTTTACATCATATCAGTTTTCCCTTTAAGAAACGTTTTCAGTAATCATTAAGTTTTTCAGTGCATTTTTAATTCTCTGTGGCCCTGGAAATGGAACGGGTTGTTATTATAGACTTGTGCATGTAAATGAGCTCTATTATGACTGTTATGTTGATAAGTAAATGAGATCAGTCAGAAATTAACGAGCTCATGGCTGATGTCATGAATAATTTCTGAACAAGCTGTTCTTGCAGACTAGTTTGCATTCATCTTTTGTGTAGCAAACATTAGAATCTTTTCATAGTACAAATAACTAAATCGTACAAATAACAATAAATAGTGCAATGATCAAAATATTAAAAAAAACTTTAATTTATCGTGACATGACCCCTTTATTAAGCAGTTAATATGCAGTAAATGTTTTCTTCGGCAATAATAAGCATCATGTGAAACACGACCAAGACAGAGTCAGTCTGTTAGTGAGGGCAGAACAGTCACAGCGCCCCCGTGTGGTGAGGAGTGAGCATGCGGTCAGTGTTAAGAGTGTTAGTAGAAAACAAAGAACTATCTTTCTCAATATTAAACTCTCCGTACGCAATACAGAGCTGTTAGCCAACAAAATGTGCCCTCCACATCGAGAAAATACAGTAGCACCACTGTGAAAGCCTGTACTAATGGCTCCAAACTGACTGCCAGTTCCAACAGACGGGAAGGACAACGTCTGCTAAATGTCTTAAGAAACTAGCTCAATATACTAGTTACCCTGATTAATAACAATTAATTGGTCTGGCTGAGATATAAGTTGTGTGAGTGTGTCTGAATGGATGCATCTGCTATGGTGTATATGTCTATTTGTGTGTGTATAAAGGCCTTCTCACATTCAAGAAAGACAAATGGTTCATAAAACCCTACCATTCAAATGTCTGGGGTCAGTAAGATTTTCCTTTCTCCCATTAAGAAGAAATTAATACTTTTATTCATCAAGGACGCATTCAATTGATCAAAAGTGACAGTAAAGACATTTATAATGTTAGAAAGGATTTCTATTTCAAATAAATGCTGTTCTTTTGAACATTCTATTCATCTGTGAATCATGAAAAATAAAATGCATCACGATTTCCACAAAAATATTGAGCAGCACAACTGTTTCCAACATAATAATAATAATCAGAAATGTTTCTTGAGCAGCAGCATATTAGATTGATTTCTGAAGATCATGTGACACTGAAGACTGGAGTAATGATGCTGAAAATACAGCTGCGCATCACAGAAATAAATTACAGTTTAACAGATATTCAACAGTTATTTAAAATTGTAATAATATTTCACAATTTTACAGCTTTTAACAATACTATTTCACAATATGAATCAATTTAAAACACATTTAATCAAATAAATGCTGCCATGGTGAGCAAAAAAAGAGAATGAATAATTTAATTTAAATATAAATGTAATTATTTAATATAGTAAACAATTTTAATAACTAAAATGATTAAATTAATTAATAGATTATTAAAATGATATACATTATTATTATTATTTATTTTTTAATTTTCACATTATTTTTTTTTATTTTAAAAAACGAAATGACCCTAGACCTTTGAGCGGTAGTGTACGTTTTTGGTAAATTTTTTTCATCAGATTACACATTTGTCTCAAGTTCTGTGTGAATAATTTTTTGTGTATTTCACCAGCAAATTTTACACGTGAAACATGTTGGTGTTGCATGTGACTAGTCCTGTCATAGACTGCCTTTCATAGCCTGTTCTGTTGCATATATGTGTGTGTGTGTGTGTAATGGGAAGCTCTGGCTCTGCAAACAGAAGCAAGCGATGGACGCATCACAAACACAGCTGCAACTTTACCTGGGATGTAGACTGACATCATCAGACACCAGTGAGACAGAGAGGAGAAACGGGGAGAGGAGACCGTTAGTAAAAAGACAAACACTAGGAAAGGGAAAAGAGGAGAACTTCGACAGGAAATGAGGTCATGGAAGTCAGATACACCTGATCGTGATCCTTCAGCACCATCAGAAACCCAAAGAGACCTGGTCTAGTGGGGTGAAGGGTTAAAGGTCACTGACCTGGTCTTTTGGGAGGCTTCTTGGTGGGCGTCTCCTTGCGTTTGGTCTGTACGGCGGGCGAGTGCATGGCAGAGGTGGCGCTGTTCTTACGGAAATGCTCCTTCAGTCCCTTAATGGACCGATCCAGCTGACTGGACCGCACCTGGAAATACACGTTCATGAAGTCTGCAGAAAAACAAATACACAACGTGAGATTTCAAACATCCTCAGTGAGCAACAGTCAGGTTCTGGAAGTAAAACCAATTCATTTTCTCCATAGGGAAATAGATTTTTAATGATAACCGATAAGCTATTAAAGACAGACCTGTTGTGAGGTTGTTAAAGCGGTCATATGATGCTGCTAAAAAGAACATTATTTTGTGTATTTGGTGTAATGAAATGTGTTTATGCGGTTTAAGGTTAAAAAAACACATTATTTTCCACATACTGTACATTATTGTTTCTCCTCTATGCCCCGCCTTTCTGAAACGTGTCGATTTTTACAAAGCTCACCGGTCTGAAAAGCGAGGTGTGCTGTGATTGGCCAGCTATCTAGTGCGTTGTGATTGGCCGAATACCTTAAGCGTGTGACGGAAATGTTACGCCCCTTAACATATACTGTGATGTCGTGTCCGGCCGGAGCAACTGAGACAAAAACATTAAAACCCCGGCGGGCTCGAGTGAGCGGCGGCCGGCGGATTCGACGAAGGAGCGTCCGGAGCTTTGCAACTTTACAGATCTTCTTTATGCACCAATAGCTTGTAACACTCCAAAGAGAAAGGAAAAATTTAAATCACATCATTTCACTTTAATCAGTGATATATGCTTTAGTTAAAACCATCTGTTCACATAAATTCAAATATTTTTAAATAATCAAGTGAATTAATAGCAGAAGTCATGGTGAAAAACTGCATTACCCATGATGCTGTACAGAAAACCAATTTTCATACAATAATAATTGTGTATAAATTTAAAATAAACATAAAATACATTGTTTCCACAGATACAATCAACAAATAATATATATAATACATTTCACTTTTTTTGTACATTAGAAGTTTACAAGTGTACAGTAGAAGAAAACAATTTTCTCAGAAAAAAAATAATGACTATATTTCCCTTTTTTACCTAATTTTACAGAAAAAATGTCATATTTAGAACAATAATTATTAATAGATTTAATAGATTAATAGATTTCATTAAAAGACTATGTTTAAGAAGTTTAAAATTGAGTATGTTCACTTATTCTTTTATATATTTTAAGTACAGGTCAGAATAAGTATGTCATTTCATTTTTACACAAATATATCTGTTATGCTGAATGATGATGAAATATTGTTTCACAGATTTTTTTTACTTTTTTTCTCCCACAAAAGTAATTTAAAACATTCAAATAGACACTTTACTTGCATTTAATATGCTTTATATGCATATAAAATAACTTTTAAAAATGTAATTTCATCCGGACATCAAAATGTATTCAACTAATTAATTATTTTATGTCATTTAATTTGGTGTTTTAAATTAACAATTAAATAATTACATTGTTTACTATATTAAATAATTACATTTAAATTAAATTTCTCTCTCTTCCGCTCACCAAGGCAGCATTTATTTAATTTAAAAAACATGAATAGTTTTATATTTCACGATCATTTTAAATTTGACTATGTCATTTGCAATGCCTCATGGGATTGTAGTCGTGATCTTCAAATACTGTTTTGCTTCAAATAAATGTTTGTAGTAGGGCTAATCTAATCTAATCGCATTCAAAATAAAAGTCTATGTTTACATACTATATGTGTGCGTACTGTGTACATTTATTATGCATATATAAATACACACACATACATGTATATATTAAGGAAAAATATGTTAGATTTATATATAAAATATTTCTATTTATTAGTGCTGTCAAACGATTAATCGCGATTAATCGCATTAAAAAAAAGTTTTTGTTTACATAGTACGTGTGTGTACTGTGTATATTTATTATGTATATATAAATACACACACATGCATGTATATATGTAAGAAAAATATGTTACGTTTATATATTAAATATATTTATATATAATATAAATTATATGGATATAAATATATACATGTAAATACATGTAAGTATTTTCAAAACATATGCTGTATGTGTGTGTCTTTAAATATACATAATAAATATACACAGTACACACACATATATTATGTAAACAAAAACTTTTATTTTGGATGCGATTAATCGCGATTAATCGTTTGACAGCACTAATAAATATAAATATTTTATATATAAATCTAACATAGTTTTCCTTAATATATACATGTATGTGTGTGTATTTATATATACATAGTAAATATACACAGTGCACACACATATAGTATGTAAACACAGACTTTTATTTTGAATGCGATTAATCGCGATTAATAGTTTTGCAGCCCTAGTTTGTAGCGTTGTGCTTCTGCTCGTAACTGGTTGGTTTGGTTCACTGCTTACAGCTAATTTTTTTTAAATCCCTTTGGGAAAAATTTATGGAAAAAATACAACACTAATGACACTAATGGCACTAAAACACTTTATGACATATAATGGCACAGATAAAAGCGTTTGCGTGTGTCCACCTTGGTTGCGTCCGTACTCCACCAGCCAGGCAGAGATGCAGATGATGTCCTGCAGGACGGCTTCGGGCAGGTGCTCCAGCGTCACGTCCTCCTGCACCTCCATGTCCTCGTCTCCTCCGATGGCGTCCAGGATGAGGATGGGCGGCACTGGCTTGCTGTAGCGCGTCAGCAGGCTGCGAAACTCCGCCTCCAGCAGCTCCTTCCCCTTCTCGAAGCGTGCTTTCTGCAACACGACAGCCTCGCTGAGGAGCTTCATACGGACTGAAGAAGTGTGAGGGGAGTGTGAGAGCATGACATACTGTACGTACCACTGTGTTGAGCTCGGGACTGTCGGGATTGTTGTCCTGAAAATACTCCACGGCTTTCTGGATCTTTGCAATGCAGGCCAGATACTCATCCAGACGACCTGCAGGCCTGCAAGAGCAGTGACTGACAAATCAGAGTCTATCCACATATCTATCTATCTATCTATCTATCCACATATCTATCTATCTATCTATCTATCTATCTATCTATCTGTATGCATTTTTATGTTATTTAAAACTGTAATAACACTTCACAGTATTACTGTTTTTACTGTATTTTTGATCAAGTAAATGTAGCCTTTATAAGTATAAGAGAGTTTACATAATTATATTTAATAAAACTTAAAATATTAACTA